ATCACTTGCCTCGGGAGAGGACATGACTTGATGCACCTAAGAACAACAACGCTTAACCTACCTCCATCCTCGTAATATGAAGCAGAATTAGTGTCCTTATTTGAGAAACGAGGACATTGAGGTTTAGAGACGTATGATGACAGCACAGTTGGAGCAGTATTCAAACGTGGGCAGCCTGGAACCAAGGCTCCTAAGTTTATCTAATGCCACGCATTCTGTTGGTTGGTTTTTGGATTTTTGCCTTTATTTAGTTCAATGCTGATTAACTATCTGCCCCTAGCAAGTATGTCAAGGGATAATTCAGACCACTTAAAACAATTATTTTATTGTGTTTTAGGCAAATGCTTACAGAGCAAATTAGATTCCCCCTTTAGGAACTTTATACAGGTGTTCTAAGACAGCTCACACTGTGGTCGCATTCTAATGATTTCAATTTAATTTGTTTTCAATGGTCTGACTTCCCTCTCATCCTTCCCTTCTTATCTTTGCTTTTGGGTAAATGTTGACCATTAGGTCTCACACAGTTGATTATTTAAGACAGCATATAACCCTTGGGTGACAGTGTTTATTTTATCTGCCAATCTATTATTTGGCTGAAGGGCAACCTCCAGAAATTGCTTCAGTTCCAAGTTCAAAAAATAGCTGAGAACAATAGTCTTAGGGTTTCTCTAGTCTCTATCTGTCCGTTTTCTCAGAAGCTGACTTTCTCTCCCATTGGATCTAGGATCTTTGATTTTATTCATGGTCAGAACCATTAAGAAGCCATGTGATTTGTGTGACCAATCAGTCCTGTGGACTAGTTTCTTCTTTATGCCTTTGGTTTCCTTCCATCTCTTTTGCTCTGTTTGAGTAGAGACCAATCGGTTTATCTCAGATGGTGGTTTGCACGCTTTCAAGACCCTAGATGTTACTCACCAAACTAGGATGTAAAGCACTGGCTTTATGCCAGTTGACGGAGTCGAACCTTGGGACAAAGGGCAGACCATTTTCAACCATGTATTATGGTCCTATGTAGGGAGGAGCAGCCAATGTTGCTTCCTTTTATCCGAAGGCAACTCTAGACTAAAGCCTAGAGACAGTTACACACTCTCTTCCAGGTGGACATCATCACCATTATTAACACAGCTCACCATTTTATTGAGCACTTACACTGTGCCAGGTATCAGGCACCAAGCACTTTCCATACTTCA